GGGGAGAAGAGCAGGAGGGGTTTGAGGGCCCTGGGGGGGTCCTGAAGGCAGCTAGGGACATTTGGGGCTCCCCAGGGGTTTGGGGGGGGCCTTTGGGGGCGGGGGGAGTCCTGGGGGGTGCCGGTGACGGGGCTGGCGCCGCTGCAGGGCCGACTACGGGCGCATGAAGCTGCAGTGGCTCTCGCTGAGCCCGGGGCAGCAGCGGCGCAACCGGCCCCTGCGGCGCTATCGGAGTCGCATCGGTGAGAGTGGGACCCCCAGCCCAGGACCCCTGGGAACCCCCCAGGAACCCCCCGAGAACCCCCCGGGAACCTCCTGACTCCGGGACCCCCCCAGGACACCTCCTGGGACACCCCCAGGAACCCCCTGGGAACCCTTGGGACCTCCGAGAACCCCCTGGGAACCTCCTGACCCCAGGACCCCCCCAGGAACCTGTGGGACCTCTTGGGATCCCCTGGGAACCCATGGGATCACCTGGACCTCCCCGGAATGCCCTGTATCCCCCAGGACTCCCTGGGATCACCAAGGGCCCCCCGGGACCACCAGGATCCCCAACTGCCCCATGGACACCCCAAACCAGCCCCCCCAAGTGCCCTGGGGACCCCCCAGAGAGCCCAGAGTGCCCCTCTGTCCCCTCAGAAGGCCCCCAGGCCCCTCTGAGCTGCCCCAGAGCCAACCCAGGGACCCCAGGGACCTCCCCAAGGGCCCCAAACTGCCCCACAGCCCCCCACAGCACCCCAAACGCAGCCCCGGGACCGCAAAGAGGCCTGAGAACCTCCGTAAGGACCCCAAGATGCCCCATAGGACCCCAAAACTGTCACCCAACCAACTGGGGGACCCCAAAGTGCCCCCCAGGCTGCCCCAGGGCCCCAGGGCCACCCCAGGGACCCCAAAGTGCCCCCCAGCCCCCCCCATGCCCCCATGGGGCTCCGTGGGGCTCCGCGGTGACGCCCCCGTGGCCCCCCCCAGAGCGGGAGGTGTGTGGGGGGGCGGCGCGGCCCCCCCCCGCGCGGGCGCTGCTGCGGGACGTGCTGCTGACCTACTGCATGTACAACTTCGACCTGGGTGCGGGGCAGCCCGGGGGCGGGGGGCGCATTGGG